CAGACAGTGCTGGGAATGGGAATCTCCATCCTGGCAGTACTGGGAATGGGAATCTCTATCCAGATGCTGCTGGGAATGGGGATCTCTATCCAGGCAGCACTGGGAAGGTGGATCCTTAACCAGGCAGTGCTGTGAATGGGTTTCTCTACCTAGGCAGAGCTGGGAATGCGGATCCCTATCAGGCAGTGCTGGGAATGGGAAATCTCTATCCAGACAGAGCTGGCAATGGGGATCTCTACCCAGACAGAGCTGAGAATGGGGAAACTCTGCCCAGGCAGTGCTGGGAATGAGGGAACAGGTGCCAGGCAGTGCGGAGATGCAAGTCCTTACGTGTTGGATGGATTGAGGATGAATCACATGTGCATATCACCAGCGAAAGGCACCGGCAAGCTATCTTTTGAAACAGGATATTTCTTCCTCTGCCAGTTTACAAATGCCAGCCTCATACCTTTAGTCCCTTTGGGACATGGTCTCTCCACCAGTACACCCTGCTGTGTCGATGGCCACTTGATGCCTCTGGCCTCTGTTGATTCACAGTATCGCTGCGGTGATGGCTGTTGGTTGTTTAGAGGTGTCTGCCTGGTACTGGGGGCATTGGGCGTGATGGGCCGCTGTTCTGGTACCAGCTGGTTAATTGCACCCACTGCCATGGTAGTGAGCGGAGCTTTCCTGGTGGTGGTTGTCGTGGTTACCATGGTTGGTTTTGCCGCAGCTGTGTTGCTTGTGGAAGCCACTGTGACTTGTGCTAAAAAGAAAGAAAAACTTGTCACTCAGTATCTACACCAACCACAGCCAAATATCAGATCCAGACACAGTAAAGAGGTTGACTGAAATTCCCTGGACAAAGAGGACAGAAAAAAGAACTTGCATTTATAGAGTACCTTTCACCCGTAAGGGGCAAAGGATAACCCAGGGGAACTGCAGGCCTATCAGTTTGACACCAAGAGTGGCAAAATGATACAGGCCATAATATGGGATAGGGTAAATATACACTTACAGAAAAATAAGTTAATACTAGACAGTGAAGGGCAGGTCATTTCTGACAACTTTAATTGCGTTCTTTGACGAGGTAACACAAGCAGTGGATGAGGTTGGTGCTGTGAATGCTGTATATTTGGACTTTCAGAAAAGATTTAATACGGTGCCACATGGCTGGTTAGTTAGCAAGTTAGAAATGTTTGGGATTGATGCGTCCTTGGCAGCAAGGATTAGAAGTTGTCCAAAAGATCGGAAACAGAGGTATGTATAGATGGGCAATTCTCAGACGGAAGGAGGAGTTCTCCAGGGATTGATGCTGGGACCCTTGCTTTTTCTGATTCATATGACTAATTTGGAGATGGGTGTTGAGGGCAAAATCTCCAACTTTGCAGGGAGAATACAGAATTGTGAGGATGGTGCTGAGCAAGTTCGGAGGGACATTAACAAGTTGGCCAAATGGGCAGACACTTCACAAATGAATTTCAATGCAGAGAAATGTCAGGAAATGCACTTCAGTAGAAGAATCATGAGAGACAATACAACTTTGAGGAGCAGAGTGACTTTGGGATTCTCTGAAGACAGCCAGGCAAGTTAAACAGTTGTTAGAAGGCTCATAGGATCCTTGGGTTTATAAATAGAGGCCTAGCGTATAAAAACAAGGAAGTGATGCTTCACCTCCATAAATCATTGGTCAGACCATATTTGGATTACTGTGCTCAGTTCTGGGCACCTTATTTAAAAGGATGTTAAAGCCCTGGAGAGATTCACTAGAATGATACCAGGAATGAGAAATTTTAGATATGAGGAAAGATTAGAGAAATTGGGCTTATTCTCCTCAAAGCAGAGAAGATTAAGAGGTGGCCTTATTGAAATGTTCAAAATTATGAACAATTTTGACAGGGTAAAGAAGGATATTTTGTTTCGAATAGTTGGTATATCAGTAACTAGGGGTCATAACTCCAAGACCGACAGCAAAGAGCTAGGATTGAGCTAAGGAGAAACTTCTTTACTCAGAGATGTTAAGATTTGGAATGCGCTACCTGGGAGAGAGGAGGAGGTGGATTCCATATGAGGTTTCAAAAGAGAGCTGAATATATATTTGAATGTGATGAATTTAGAAAGCTAGGGCTGGAGAATGGGACCAACTAGATAGGTCTTTCATAGATATCCCTGCAGTGTGGAAACAGGCCCGTTGGCCCAACAAGTCCACACCAACCCTTGGTGCATCCCACCCATATCCATCCCCCTAATCTACACATCCTTGGACACTAAGGGCAATTTGGCATGGTCAATCCACCTACATGCACATCTTTGGACTGTGGGAGGAAACCAGAGCAAACCCACACAGATACAGGGAGAATGTGCAACCTCCACACAGTCACCCGAGGGTGGAAGTGAACCCGGGTCCCTGGTGCTGTGCGGCAGCAGTGCTAACCTCTGAGCCGCCGTGCTGCCCCAGCAGGAGCTAGTACAGTTGCAATGCAGGAAATGGATTGGCTAATTAGTGCACAGCAAGCTCCCACAGACTGCAATGTGATAAAGACCAGATAAATTGTTTTAGCAATATTAGTATTATTAACTGTTTCAGCAAAATTAGTATTATTAACTGTTTTAGCAATATTAGTTGAGGGAGAAATAGTGGTCAGGACGTAGGGGAGAACTCGCCTGTTCGTTTTCATGTCTTGCAACAGGATTCCTTGTCTTCACCTGAGAGAGTAAATGCACTTTATTTTGCATGCGGAAAACAGAGTCTCTGACAGTGCAGCACTCCCTCAGCACTGTCTTACAACCTCACCCCAGAGCTGGTATATGCCACAACGATGCAAAAACAAAATTTCATTACCGCACCCAAGTCTCTCATAACACAGCAAACATTTCTCACAATCTCACTGAAATCCCCCAGTGATTTTGAAAGAATGATACACAGGAGTGCCCCAATGTGACAGATTTGACTCCTTCAACCAGTTAAACTTTGGGAAACAGCAAATGTCTGTCTCTGGAGATTGCAGAAATACCATCAGAGTGGAGAGCACTTATTAAACAGTCACTGGGTTAGCTAGTTTGGGAGACAAAGTGACACCAACAGTGTGGGTTCAATTCCTGCATTGGCTGAGGTTACTATGAAGGACCCTTCTTTTCAATTTTCTCTTCACCTGAGGTGTGGTGACCCTCAGGTTAAACCACCACCAGTCCTCTCTCTCTCTCTTTCTAATGAGAGAGCAGTCCCATGGCCATCTGGGACTTAACCCTTGACTTGTTAAATATCAGATTAACAGTGACGTGCTGGTAACATCACTAGACTAACAATCCCAACACCCAGCCTCACACTTTGGAGGATGTGGGGTCATATCCAACGCAACTGAATCTAAAATCAATTATTAAATATCTGAATAAGATAATAAAATTATCATTTGTAAAAGCTCATCTGGCCCTTTAGGGAGGGAAATCTGCCATCCTTACCTGGTCTGGCCTACATGTGACTCCAGAGCAACAGCAATGTGGTTAGCACTTAACTGTCCCGTGAAAGGCCAATCAGTTCAACGGCCCTACCCAATGGGAAAACCAGGAACACTTATAAATGAATGTACTGGTTCTCCATTTAGAAGAATGAGATGAATTGGACCACTCGATCTATTTTGTTAGTTTTATTGTTTTTACCTTCAGGATAGGGGCAAGCAACAAATGTTGCTATGGTTAGTGACACCCATGTCCCACGAAACAAGTAATTGTGGGTACCACTCAGAGATAGTAAGAACTGCCGATTCTGGAGTCAGAGATAACACAGTGTGGAGCTGGAGGACACACAGAAATTCCTGAAGAAGGGTTCCGACCCGAAACGTCAGCTTTCCTGCTCCTCTGATGCTGCCTGGCCTGCTGTGTTCCTCCAGTTCCATATTGTGCGTACCATTGTTCTTTCAAGTTTATGAAACCCAAAATAGCATAAACCAGAGCAAAGGATTGAGGACTTTCAAGTGTAAGGTTATTTCTACCACATATAGTCTTTCCCCCATCTTATGCACCAGTTTAAAAAATTGGCATCTCAGAACTATCGTATCCCTCTCCAGACCCATCCACAACCCTGGCCATATCCCCAGATGGAATTAATCAGCAACTGTAGCTTCTTCAGTAAGCATTTAAAATTAAGCTGATCTGTTTGGGTGCAGAGATAGTAATACTGTATACAATATAAAGTGATATAAAAACAGCATCTTTTAAAAACTTGCAGATATCATTTCACAGGGTTGTAGAATCATACAGTGCAGAAAAAGCCCTTCGGTCCATCCAGCCTGTACTGCCAAAAATACACTAATATCTACACTTTTCTTACTTTCCAACACTTGGCCCATAACTTTGAATGTTATGACACATTGTGAGGTTTCCTGCCTCAACTATCTGCCCAGGAAGCACATTGCAGACCCCCCACCGCCCTCTGTGTGAAAACATTTTACCTTAAATCCCTTCTAAATCTCCTATCTTTCACTTTAAAACTTTTCCCCCTTGTTATTGATCCTTCAATGCAGCTGTTTCCTATCCACCCTGTTCATGTTTCAAATAATCTTATACACCTCAATTAGTCAGCCCTCAACCTTCTCTCTTGTAAAGGAAACAACCTGAACTTATCCAGCCTCTCTTCATTGCTGGAATGCTCCTTCCCAGGGAACCTCCTGGTGAAACTCCCCCGCACCCCTTCCAGTGCAATCACATCCTTCGTATAGTGTGGGGACCAGAATTCCACCCTGTCCTGCAGCTGTGGCCTAACCAAAGTTCTGTGTAGATCCAATATAACTGCCCTACTCTTATAATCTATGCCTCAACTCAAAGGCAAATGTCACGCATGCCTTCTTAACCACCTGATCAGCCTGCCCTGCCACTTTAAGATCCCCCTATTCCTCTGAGCTTCCTAATTTCCTGCCATTCATTGAGTATTCTTTATGTAAAAAGGAACTAGTCAATGCACACCAATGCCAGAGGAGGAGGTACAGACAGGTACAATTACAACATTTAAAAGGCATCTGGATGGGTATATGAATAGGAAGAGTTTAGAGGGATATGGGCCAACTGCTGGCAAATGGGCCTAGATTAATCTGGGATATCTGGTCAGCAGGGTTGAGTTGGATGAAGAGTTTGTTTTTGTGCTGTACATCTCATCTTGCACTCGTCAGGCCTAATGCAAGAATGCCAAACTTCAAATGATCACAACAATTTACACCACAGGATGTGTTGGCAAGTTGAGCCTGAATGGCAGAAGTGTTGCCATGCAGAACACTTCTCTTATCCACCCTCTCTTTACCGCTGCAACGCTCCATCCCAAACAACATCCTGGTGAATCTCCTCTGCAAACCCTCCAGTGCAATCACATCCCTTCTACAGTGTGGTGACCCAGAACTGTACACAGTATTCCAACTGTGGAGTAATGAAAATTCTGTGCGGCTCCACATGACCTCCCTGCTCTTATAATCTATACCATGTCTGATAAAGGCAAGCATCCCGTATGCCTTTTAAACTACCCAATTGAGCTGCCTTGCCACTTTCAGGGATCTGTGGACAAACACCCCAAGCTTTCTAGTGTCCTGCCAATCGTTGAGTATTCTGTTGTCTTGTTCCTTCTTCCAAAGTGCATCACCTTACACTTATCATGGTTAAATTCCAACTGCCCATCTAACCCATCTATTTGTATCCTCTGTAACTAAAGACCTTCTTCCTCATTGTCAACCACCTCGCCAAGCTTCATGTCATCCACAAACTTACTTATCATTCCCCGAAATT